GCATGGAAGGCACACGTGTTGACATTAGTTTGTTCTGATGACCAGCCTCCGGAGGGCCCTCTTAATGTCCCGGTTCCTCAGGCTGTAGATGAAGGGATTCAGCATGGGGGTGACCACTGTGTACATCACCGTGGCCACTGCATCTTTCCTGGATATAGAGAAGACAATGGAACTGAGATACACTCCAACACCTGTTCCATAAAACAGGCAAACAACTGACAGGTGAGAAGCACAGGTGGAAAAGGCTTTATATTTTCCACCTGATGACGGAACGCTCAGGATGGAGGAAACAATTCGAATATAGGAGAAAAGGATCCCGGAGATTGGAACACCACCAAAGATGGCACTAATGCAATACAGCACTGTGGTGCTGGCGGAGGTGTCAGAACAGGCAATGTGGAGGAGTTGAGTAGGGTGGCAGAAGAAATGAGGGATTTCCATATTTAGGCAGAAGGTAAGGAGTGACACCATTAAAATGTGCATCTGGGAGTCCAAAAGGCTGATGAATAAAGACAGCAAAAGCAGGAGGCCACAGAGGCGGGGCTTCATGATGGCTGTGTAGTGCAGAGGGTAACAGATGGCCACAAACCTATCATAAGCCATTGCAGTTAGGAGAAGACTATCTAGACATCCAAAAAGGGCATAAAAGGAAATCTGTGTCAGGCAGCCAGCATAGGTGATGGATTGGCTGTGTGTCTGGATGTTCACCAGCATCTTCGGGACCGTGGTGGAGATAAAACCAATGTCAGCCAAGGAGAGGTTGGAGAGGAAGAAGTACATGGGTGTGTGGAGTTGAGCATCAGAGACGACAGTCAAAATGATGAGCAAGTTCCCAATCACAGTGATCAGGTACATGGAAAGGAACATCCCAAAAAGGAGAGGTTTCAGTTCTGGATCGTCAGAAAGGCCCAAGAGGAGGAAATCGGAGATATCTGTTAGATTCTGTGACTCCATGTACCTGAGAGAGAATTTGGAAAAAGAAAAGTTGTGGTTAAGATGAAACAAGCAAGCAGGCACCCAGCAGTGTGTCT